CCCCACACACAAAAGCAGTGTCTTCATATCTTACTGGCAACATGTAGTAGATACTTGTTTCCTTTTGAATCTTATGATACAGTCTAAGAGAGGTGATATCTCAATTTTCTGTTGGACAGTCTCCTCTTATGTTACACTAGTTTTTTTCTTCATGGAGCTTTCTGCCTAATCCATGTGCAGTAGGGAGTCCCAAGATTGTCCTATACTGTCTTGTGGAGGGAGCAAAAGATGTTACTCAATTTTAAAACTAGGAGGCCAAATAACATGGTCTAAAATACAAACAAGGGTAATTTGGAAGCAGCAGTTGTCTACTGAAATTTCAAAGATAAACCCCCCCTTCTCCCACTGAAGAAGACAGTTTCTAGGATGTTTTGAGGGTACACTGCAAAAAGGTTTTTCATTATACACTCATACTGCTATCATTATAAATGTCTCCGAATAGGATTTTTAATCTTTAAGAAGCATAATATAGAACAGCTTCAGTTTAAAATGTCAGAAATATTTTGAACCAGAAGTATTAGAGTTGGAAAATTCAAATCACCAAAGACCATTTCCATGCAAAGAATATCAAACCTACAGGCCAGTATGGCAATTTTACTTCAAAACAAAATTATGCAAGCAATTGAAACACCACTTTTAGTATTCAAATACTTCCTCTTAACCCATCGTTCAACTTTTGAAGTGATTTATTCTTTTCAGATAATGCACAGAAGGAAAAAAAGACTCACTTTATTGACCCTTAACTGACTTAATTTTCATTTTAGCAATTCAAAATACATTAAACAAAAATAAAACTTTTATGTGTATGTAACAGGATGTAAGAACTCTAAGGATCTCAAATGCATTAAAACTTATATTTTTATGAGGTTTGTCTGTCCTAATAATTATATATTTGTAACCACTAACTCTGCATTTTTACCTTTGGACTAGATTTCAGAAAGCAGTAAAGCAGTCGCTGTCTATTTTATAATGACAGAGGTAAGAGAATGAGTTTCCTTTTGAATAAATACTGAGAATATTCAACACAGTGGCAGAGAGTGAATTATAATTATACTTAATGTTAACAATCTGTTCACCGGGGTTGCAAAATTTCAGGCTACAGAGTATTCAAAAATTCATTTCTATTATACCAATAAAAAGAATGGGCTTAGAAACAAAGGAATGTTTCTTTTACAGTTTATTGTACATTAAAAAACTTTTTTTTAATGTTTATTTATTTTTGGGATAGAGTGTGAGCAGGGGAGGGACAGAGAGAGAGGGAAACACAGAATCCAAAGCAAGCTACAGGCTCTGAGCTTTCAGCACAGAGCCCAACGTGGGGCTCGAAATCATGAACCATGAGATCATGACACGAGCCAAAGTCGGACACTTAATCAACTGAGCCACCCACACAGCCCATAGTTAGTTGTACATTTTTTATCTTTACAGAAAAAAACCAAATCCTTCACCTTACAATATCAATTATTTTCACAGTTCTAAATCACTTCTAATTCTTTCACATATTTATATGTATCAAGACTCATTTGGTATTTGTATGCTGTTCTTTCATATAGCAAGACTTTGCAAATATTTTTCCATGGCAAATGAACTTCCCTGGCATTTATGTATACTGCAATGACTATTCATATGCATTAACATATGCTTAGTCTAAAACCATGCCAGTTCTTTAAGAAACCGAATAACAGATCTGAAATAATCTCATAAATTCCTTCACCTTGTTAAAAATGTTTCTTGTGATTTTCCTAACCATAACAATTAATGGGGAAAATTTTAAGTTTATCAACTATACCTAGTCTCAACTAGTATTTTTCAAATTGAGATGGGTCTCATTCAGCGACCTTCCTCCAAGTGTAATACTTTCTCCTCTTGACTGGCCTTGACTCCCTAACTCCTTTCCCATATGGCCGCATCTTACCTCCTCTGACCTTAATATCCATTCTCTAGAGTGGAGGGCAGAACATTCTCCTAAGATAGAACACAGAAAACTAATCATCTTCACCTCTTTCATCAAACTTTACTAACCAAGAGAACCGAATGGTGTGTAGGGCACTATGGGATGGTTTTTTAAAATTTTTTTTTTAACGTTATTATTGAGAGACAGAGAGACAGAGCGTGAGCAGGGGAGGGGCAGGGAGAGGGGGAGACACAGAATCTGAATCAGGCTCCAGGCTCTGAGTGGTCAGCACAGAGCACAACACGGGGCTCGAACCCACAAACCATGAGATCATGACCTGCGCCGAAGTCGGTCGCCTAACCAACTGAGCCACCCAGGCGCCCCAGGATGGTGTTTTATAAGGCACATGAAGACTAGGCTCCTACAATTCCCTGAAATTTTTCATCTTGTCAATGAAAAAAAACAGTGAAACATCAGATAATTCTTTTTTGGACAGAAAAGACAGGTGGGATCAACAAAAATGTAACCCAAAACCACAAAATAGTATCAGAAAACCTAACTAACAAGGCAGCTTCCACTAAATACAGCTGGCTGTATTACTGAAAGGAAGTGAAATATTAATTTTTAAAAGGTTGCTTTTAGAAGAATGTTCTTTATCTTGGTCACAAACACACCCACCCACCCTCTGTCCATGCATGAGACTGATTGCTTTCTGGTTCTGAAGGTAAAGGAGACTATGGGTTATACATTGTTATGACCATATGACAAATGCTGTTGAATCTAGATTTATGGCTACAGAATATGATCATGCAGATCTTTTCAAAAGGATTAACATTTCCTATACCAGATACTGGATTATTTCAAAAGAACTAGGTACTTACGAGCTGCTTTGATCTGTCTCTGTGTAGCTTTGTATCTTACATGGCCAAGTCCAAGTACTGCATAATGATCTTGGTTCTGATAAAGACACAAAAGGAAGTCAAGTGTGAAATGGAGCTGATATCCCTTGTGCTGGCACCCATTTTAGTGCTTCCCAAAGTGAGAATCCCATAATAGGAGACATTCTATATATAATGGATTCTGTGGTATGTAAGTCTGGGAAATGTGGATTGTGATACAGCCTTCTTGATGATTTGTATGCATATAAATCAAAGGCTCTGAGAAGTCTTGCAATTAAAAAAAACCAACCAAACAGAAACCTGCAAAACCCAGCATTTTCTTAACTTACATGACCACTGAGCCCATTTTCCTCCTAACACCTAGTAATATCCTATGGCCATCTGTAAATCAAGAGATTTCAGAACTGAGGGAAGCACTATCACAGCCCCACAGGGTTGGGCCAGGGCAATGAAAGGATAGGACCAGGAGCTGTGCAGAGCAAAGGTAGGCTGGATGGAAATTTTGAGAAACTGAGAGATGAGGCTTCTCTGGAGAGGAAGTACCTGCTGTCGTTAACATCCTTGCAAACTGACAAGTTGAAGCAGCAACTGGAGTGAAGGTTCCCTACAGAACTCAAAAGGTGAGTCTAGTACTGGAGAACTGAGGGGGGGGGGAAGGGAGTTGGGGGCATGAAACACAGGAGAAAAAAGTTAAATAGAGCTGACTGGTTTCCCTTCAAATTCAGGATTACAAAGTTCATGTGGATGGGCTTTTTCATTACGCCTGGCCATCATTCCAACTGGTTTACCTTTCCACTCCCTAAGGTTACTATTTCTCTAGTCTCTCCTCAACCCTCACAGATCCTTCTCCACCCTCTTATCAGCAGCCCTGCCTCCCAGTTAACTATAAGATGTAAATTATCCTACTCAAATTCCTACTCAATCTTTGTAATACCCTACCTGCAACCATACATCTTTCCCCTTTTCCTCCATTCACAACTGAAGAAGTCTGTCCTTCTGAGACAAACTACTCCACCCCTCCTCTTGGTTCTAAGCACTGTCTTCTCTACGTCTCCTCATATACTAGTATCTTTCAGGGATCTCCCAAGCTTCAAGTGGATTATCTTCATCTGTATAAAAAGATGCTGTTAGTTCTCATCCTTAAAAACACATCCATGACCCCCTTTCCAGTTACCACTCTCTCCATCTCTCTGCTGTCCGTCAACATTAAACTTCTTGAAAAAGGCGTCCACACATTTTACCTCCTTTCGCATTCATTTTCAAACCACTCCAGTTGGGTTCTGTTCCACCCACTCCCACCCCCGGCACAATGAGGCTGCTCTCTTCAGTATCAATTTCCAGGTACCAAATCCAAGACCACTCATCTGCCCTCACTTGACTTCAGCTCCCAGTGGCAGCACAGCTGACTCATTCCTTAAAATATTATCTTACTTTAGTGTTTCCGTGCATTCACTCTGTTTTCTTCCCACCTTCCAGCAACTTTTTTCAGCCACTTTTACTGGCTTCTCTATGACCTGCAAAGCTCAGTTCTGGGGTTTCTTTTGTCTCTCTCTACATTTCAGTTCAAAGTGATTCGATTCAGTGCCAGGGCTAGAATACACTTATGACTCCCCAGTTCACTGGAGCACAGACGTCTCTTCTGAGCTCCAGGTGCACTGAGCACCTCCATTTCTCACTATTCCTGGCTTGTCTCTCTCTACCTCGATCACTCACTTCCAAATACATGACTGGTGCTGCAGTTCACTGCAGATACCGAGCTCTTCCTCCCCCCAGCCTGGCACATTCCCCCTTCTTCATGTGGCTGCCGTCTTCTCATCCTTCAGCCTCAGCTTAAATGTTATCACCTTATTTAAAACAGACAACCTTCTCTGCCCATCTCTGCTCCTTCTTGTTCCCTCTGAAGTATTTAAAAATTGTCATTGCTTTAAACTCTCCACTGGCTTTCCAGTGACTATTGCTCCTTACCTCCTCACACCCCCTATCCACTCTGTACCACCTATTTGCCTCCTTCAGTTCCTGGCACTTCGAACTTCTTTCTGCCCCCACACAAGATCTCTGCCTGGAATGGCATTCTTGCGGATCTTTATGTGTCATTCAGGTTTTATCTTAAATGTCAACTGCACAGGCCTTCCCCACCTACTCACTCTAAAGCAGTCATATGGACACTCTATCACATCATCCTGTTCTACGTCTTTGCCCAGCATTTGGTGGCCACATCTTTGGTTGTTTACTTATTGCCTGTCTCACTAGAATACAAGCTATGTGGGAGCAGTGATACTGTCTTGTTCAGTTGACTTCTCAGCACCCAGAACAGGGTCTGACACATAGAAGATGCTTGATCCTGTTTGTTGAAAAGAAACAACCAACTGAACCCTGCTACCTGTTGTCATATCATCTATTCTTTTCTATACCAAAGACTTTCTTCATTCTTTCTTTTCTCTCTTGTAGACCTCAACGATCCCCAGTTCTATCTTCTCCTGACCCTGCTTTTCCCTCAAGTTACTATTTTCTCTTATTTTCTTTACAACTCAGCCATGAAAAAGAGTATTTTGCACTGTGGTCTCCTACAACCCAACTATAATCGCTCGCCATCCCAACCTTTTTATTGGAATGGCTTTCAGTGTGGTCTCCTAAGCTTCATTTGCCAAACCCAGTAGGTTTTTATCATTATTCATGTTATGGGATGACCTCCAAAGCAGTGACACTGGTGACTGTGTTTTTCTTCTTGAGACTTCTTCCTCTCTTAGTTTCTGGAAGCCTAGTGCCTGATGTTTAATAAACCTTTGTGGAACTAACAAATGTCTTTTTGTTTTCTTTCTACTTCTTTCACCCTTCTTAGTATCCTTTGCTGCTTCTCCTCCTCTGCCCACACCTTAAATATTCATGCTCCACAATGTTCAGTCCTTTTTTTTTTTAAATCAATAATGACAATATGCGAATCAGCTAACATTCTCAGCACTTACTTTTCTAAGTGCTTTACACATACTCTTTATCTTATTTAATCCTACAAGCGAGGAGAGAGAAATTATCCACTATTATTTATCCTATGTCAAGCGATAAGTTAAGTGTTTTACACGCATCATTGCGTTAATCCTCACTAAACTCCTCTAAGGTGTTAGCAATCTCACCGTAGGAAACAGACTTCTCAAGTAACTTTGCCAAGGTCCCACCACACTAAATGGGCAGAGCCAGATTTGAATTCTGGCACTCTAATTCCATAGTATATATACATATGTAAATATTATACTAGTTCTCTACTTAATAGGGCTTTATGATACCTATTTGTCTATATTCTTCTCTTTGACTGATGTCATTCAATTCCCCACAGCTTCAACTACCACCTAAGACTTGCCAACAACTTGCAAAAGTTGTTGGCTCTATTCTCTGTCAGAGTCACAGACCAATTTCTAACCATCTACTAAAAGACTTCACCAGTATATTAGTAGAACCTCAATTACAACATAGCCAAACTTGAACACAAACACCACATTCCCTCACAAACTTCCTTTTTCCTGCATCCCAGTGTTAGTGACTGATATCAGACACTGGCAGGTCATTCAACCTGGAATGCTCAGAGGTCTTCTGAGTACATCTCCGTCTCTTATACGGCACAGCCAAGGTCACCAAGCTCTACCAAGTCTACCTCCAAAAAAAAAGCCAGTGGCCCCTTTTCCTCAAAGCTCAGCCACAAATTTAGCTCAAGTATGCATCTGCAGGCTTGGATTATTGCACTTGCCCTACAATAGCAAACCATTCACTTCCCCTCCAGCCCTGTTCTCCCTCTTCAAATAATTTTCTGTACTGCCAAGAGAATTACTTTGCTAAAATTAGCTCAGAAACTTTTGATGATTTCCTACTGCCCTGAAAATAAAATCTGAGTTCCTTCCTTAGCATGGCATAAAAAGGACGCTACAAAAGAATCTGGTCTAGACTGTTTCAGGACTAAATTCTCACCACCAAACCTTCAAGCATCCTACTCTACTCTTCACTAATCCCTGAAGAGGCAGTATACTTCTTTACTCCTTTGTGTCTTTGCAGATCTATTCCTTCTGCCCAGATCACCTTTTGTTCCCTTCTCTGCTTCACAAACTGCTACTCATTCTTTTAAGGCCAGTTCAAACATTATGTTTTCTGTGAAAACTTCCTGGATTTTTCCAGCAGAGACAGTATCCTATGGCCATCTCGCTCAGAGCTTAACAACAGACAGGTGCTCAATTATGGTTCTCTTGCTGAAGCATCTTAAAACGGTTTACTGACAGAAAACTTGTGGGAAAACTGCCTATGCCTAACAAAGCATCTGACTGAACAAAAGATTCAGATATTAAGTACCTTCCAGTCTTTGGGATCAAGTGTTTTCAACATGGGAAACTCTTCTAACTGCAATTCTTCATCTTCCGATTCCTCTGATAACTCTTTCTTATCCTCCAGTTCCTGAAAAGAGGCAGAAGCATTCCTGTTTCTCCTCTTAACAAAAGCTTCAAACCATCTTCCCACAGGTTCAACTTGACAGAGTGTTGAGGCTGTGATTGAAAGCGTTAAGAGAGGCTTCAATGTATTGCATGGAATAAATCTATTTCAAGGCAATAAATAAGATCAAAACAGCGACAGCATCAGAATGTAATTTTAAAACCATCAACTAAGGAAATAATTGCAGTACAGGGATACTTGGGAGATAGTGCAGGTTTGGTTCCAGACCACCACAATAAAGCAAAAATACTGCAAAAAAGTGAATCAAATATGTTTTTTGGTTCCTCAGTGCATATAAAAGTTCTGTTTACGCTATGCTAACGTCTAAGAAACAATGGACACACCTTAATTGAAAAATACTTTATTGCCCAAAAATGGTAACCATCATCCAGGCTGTCAGCTAGTCATAATCACTGATCACAGATCACCATGACAAACAACAATGAAAAAGTCTGAAATACTGTATTACCAAAATGTGACAGAGACCCAAAGTAAGCAAATACTGCTGGAGAAATTGTGCTGATGGATTTGCTCAACACAGGGTTACCATAAACCTTCAATTTGTAAAAAATGCAGTATCACTGAAGCACAATAAAGTAAAATGCCATAAAACAAGGTATGCCTGCAATCCAGTTAACATGAGGGTTAGCAATAATCATTTCCTAGTATTCAGAGTATTCAATCCACCTCTTTGAGTTATCTGACAAAGCATTCAGCAACGTCAACAATAAAGCAATACTTTTCTGAAGGTATGAGAGGAAGGTGAGGAACAGGGATAACTGCTGCCAACTGCTTTACTGTTAGACCAATAACTGTAATAAAACAATAAATGATAAACTGTCTCCAAAATACTAACCTCATCAAAAAACTGTTCTAAAAACAACTCAAAATATTTTAACTAAAACCTTGAATTCAGCTTTTAAAAATTTTAAGAACTCACTAGCAATGATTCTGGAAGACAATTCTCCAAGCAGCTAAAGAGGTTTAACTAACACAGCTATGCTATAGGGTAAAAGCTCTGGATCTGGTATCAAAAGCTCTGGATTTAGTCTAAGTCTGACAATTAGCAACTACGTGCAATGAGTCAGAGATGTCTTCAACTGTAATATGGGAACAATATTTATCTTCTATGGCTCCTTGGAAGACTGAATGAAAAACCGTATTTGAAACCACTTTGAAAATCACAACCTCTTGAATCAAAGTAAGGTTTTACGAAGATAAATCACTGCACATTTGTACATTAACGACTCAAAAAAGGTCATCTGAGTCAGGGGAAAAAAAACCCTGAACACTTTAACTTCATAGTCCACGCAAAAGCAAAAGACTTTGCCCTGTAGCAATAAGTAACTCAAATGTTGTTTCCCATTGTACCTAATGGCCACAATTTTCTCAAAATAACTTATTTTTCATGCTTTAGTTGGTTTGGGAAATTAAGATTTCCTGTACCATACACAGGAGAGGATTCAAACACTATGTTCAAGAAGTACTAGCTGTGTGGTATGGGTGTGGCTTTTAAGAACATCACCTTTCAAGCCTTTCCTTTTAGTTTAAGATCACAGAGACTTCCGCAAGCAGAACACAACACGTGCCATGAGATAGGATCAAAATCCAACAACTGTCTCTATAAGTGGCTATGGTAATTAACGTGGATGGCTGAAACTAGAGACTAAGTTTACCATACCCACGACTGTCCTGGGCTATAAATTTAAGAAACTACAGAAGCAGTCAACTCTCAATGACTCTTTCAAAGTCTGTCTACACAAATCTTAGCAGCATCACCGGCAAAGGTCTTTTCATACTGAGGTTTTGAGTATGAGGAGCAGTCTCTAAGCTTTGACATTTAAAAATCAAAGAAGGTACTAACACAGAGAGGGAGAAAGATGTTTAACAGAGCACCAGCAGCAAGGCTTTGTACGACGCGAGGCACGTGGGAGCTCGCTGCGGGCAATCTCTTGACCTAGGCAAGGAGATGCTTACAAGAACCTTTTTAGGCTACTAGACGGTTCGGCCCCGAACTGCTCCGCCCGATCCATGAGTCAGCAGCGGCGAAAGGAGGAAGAACTGTCGGGGCAGAAAGAAGACGCCCCCTCCCTTCTTCCAGTCTGGAGAAGGATTTCTTTTGCCTGGAGCAAAAAGTCACTCGTCACGGCCCACGCGTCCGGGTGCCAGGCACCAGGGACAAGAAGGGAGAGATTTCGGGGTCGCGCAGGTGGAGGGCGGAGGCAGGGGCGGCTAAGAGGGGACCAGCCGGGGTTGAGTGGGCACGTACCAGAGGTCAGAGCGTGGGTGATGGCGGTGCCCTGGCCGTCCGCAGCGCTCGGCAGGAGCAGCATGATGGCGCCGGGGCCGGCCCCGCAGGCGCAGCGGTTAGCGTCCTGGGCCGGGGGCGCTTAGGGTCCCCTCCGGCTCTACCTCTGGGTCCGAGCCTCGCGCCTTGGCTCTACGACGCCCAGGAACCGGCGCATGGAGACGACCAACAACTACTTCCGGGATGGATCTTTCGCGGTGCGGAGGCCAATTCCACCCGCACACACCGCGCCAACGTGTGCGGCAGCCTAGTTACTCTAATGACTCGGATCCGGCTGGGGACCAAGACTCACAAAAGAAAGGTTCCTACACTCCTCAGTTCCGCGGCGAAAAGGATTACTTTATTCCCCTAGGTGCGATACGTGGAGCATAATTTTCTGAAGCAGTTCCTACTATGCTATTTTTATTTTTAAATCACTATTTGCCCGAGACTAACCACTAACTTCTCAAGTAGCTCTACTTATATAAATAAAAAATGAAAAGATATCTATGCATTAATATTGGGAACAATTATTGTAGTCTATATACATCTATAGAGAATTTTGTACATATACCTATATTTGCACTTATACAAATAATAATGGCAGCCTCTATTTGTTGCGATATTACTCAGTAATTTACCTGCGTTGTCTCGTTTAATCCTTGTAACGTTTGGCAAAGAACACCTCCTCAGTGTTAGCTTCTACTGGAAGGCCGGCAATCTTTTTACCCTGTTCTAAAAGCATGAAGTTGTTTTTTTTTTTTTTT